ATAATAATAATAATAATAATAATAATTTAATTTATATACCGCCCTTCTCCCGTAGGACTCAGGGCGGTGCACAGCATATTAAAACAGATACAAACAAAATACATCAAAAAACAAAAAAACCCCCATAAAACCAAATTAAAAGCCAAATATTGGAAGCTGTGTGTCAATTAAAATTTTCTTAAAATCATCCCTACCTAAAGATAGGTCAGGGGTAGGCAACTTTGCCTCTTTTATGACTTGTGGACTTCAACTCCCAGAATTCCTCAGCCAGCATGGGGGAAACTTTGGCCCCTTCATGACTCGTGGACTTCAACTCCCAGAATTCCTGAGCCAGCCTGGCTCAGCTTGGAAACCTCTCCGTTTTCCCTCAGCGTGGCTGGCTCAGGAATTCTGGGAGTTGAAGTCCACCAGTCATAAAAGAGCCAAGGTTGCCTACCCCTGAGATAGATGACAAAATTGGTCATTAGGACCAGAGACTTAGTCTTCCAAGCTTTCAGACTTGTGTTGGAGCCCATTCTCTGGGAACTTCTCTCTCTCCTGGATGTCTGCACTGGGCTCTGCGTAGTATTTACACGGTGCCTGGTTGTGTGTGGCTTTTAGTCGAGAAAATGAGCTTTTAGATGAGGAAGTGCTCAGAGCTGCAGGAAATCAAGGATCTTTGTAGCTCAGGGTTGAAGTGAATTCTATCTCTGAACTTGGCTGTTTTCTTGCAGATGTTTCATTATCAAACCAGGTAACATCAGTGCGAGAAAGGAGTGGGATTTGCAGAGTGGAGGAGAAGGAGAAGGGGAGGAGGACCAAAAGGAGAAGGAGGAGGACCGTGAGGTCCTGGATGTTCTCTGAGCTTAGTTGTTTTCTTGAAGGCATCTAATTACCCAGAATAGGTAACATCACCACTTGTAATCTGTCGCTGGGAACAAGCAATGCCTGCAAGAAAGCAACCAAGCTCAGAGAGCGCCAAGGACTCTTCTGCAGGAAACCTTCTCAGTCTCAGCCTCCTGAGACACAATGCAGGTCTTGCTCTCAGCTGAACTATGGACTTGCAATAATAATAATAATAATAAATCCTCTCTGGCAGAAACCTGGAAGAGCTTCAGAGGGATAGAATCAAGATCAGGTGAAGTGCTAATACCACTTTACAAGGCCTTGGTAAGGCCACACTTGGAATACTGCATCCAGTTTTGGTCACCAGGATGTAAAAAAGATGTTGAGACTCCAGAAAGAGTACAGAGAAGAGCAACAAAGATGATCAGGGGACTGGAGGCTAAAACATATAAGGAAAGGCTGCTGGAATTGGGTATGTCTAGTTTAATGAAGAGAAGGACGAGGGGGGACAGGATAGCAGTCTTCCAGTATCTCAGGGGTTGCCCCAAAGAAGAGGGAGTTAAGCTATTTTCCAAGGCGCCTGAAGGCAGGACAAGAAGCAACGGGTGGAAACTGATCAAGGAGAGAAGCAATCTAGAACTAAGGAGAAACTTCCTGACAGTGAGAACAATTAACCAGTGGAACAACCTGCCTCCAGAAGCGGTGAATGCTCCAACACTGGAAATTTTCAAGAAAAGACTGGACAGCCATTTGTCTGAAATGGTATAGGGTTTCCTGCCTGAGCAGGGGGTTGGACTAAATGACCTCCAAGGTATCTTTCAACATTATTATTATTATTATTATTATTATTATTATTATTATTATTATTATTATTATTATTATTATTATTATTATTATTATTATTATTATTATTATTATTATTATTAGGCAGCTCTGGTAGGGG